CTAAGAGGTTTCCTTCCCAAAACGTGCAGATGTGAGAGGGGGAAAAAATATTCATTTTCCTGGGTGTTTATACCATCTCCCAATGTTACAAACTTGTAACATATTAATACACACAACTCGTTCCATACCCTAATTATTCAGGGTTTAGAAATTTTTAACATATATAGCTTTTTCAGTGACCTGAGATAGTTGCTCCCAATATTTTTTGCAACACAGAGTTAAACAAAGATGAAGAATCCACCATTAAATTTCATTGTACCAAATCCCTTATGGATTTAACATTGCTGTGGGATATTTGTGCATAGCCAGTGGCAGGTTTCCTCTTCTAGTTAAGTGTTGCCTTCCTGGGAATGTGTAATGGTAGTCAAATGGTTTTTAACCTTTCTGTAAGATGTAAAGCTAAACAGGGCAAATCTATTTTACTGAGATAGTCACTGCCAGCAAAAAGGGGATACCACCATTAGTCACCACCACCTCAGTTAATATCTGCAATATGAAATTCAGAGTTCTGTTAAACCTTTCCACTGGTCCTCTGTTTCTAGTTTATAAGAGGCAGACAGTAGCTGCTCTGCTCCAGATAATTGCCATAACTTTTTAATAAGTAATACAATCACTTCATGTCTTTAGGAATCTCTTCTCTCGGAAGTCTTATGGACTGAAAGCAGCAAACATGACTTGAGCAACTAGTTAAGTTCTGAGCTAGATAAGCAATTGCTTCTAAGCACCAGATAATGAAGTCAAACACTGCAAACATTTTCTTTGACTTATGTCTCATGTGGAATTCAATTCACACTGCCCATCTCAACTACGGAGCTGGTTTTTGATTACAGGGAGATGATCATGATTAGCTTTGCAAGAATGGCCCACCCTTTGCATGTAAGCACATAGAGCACAATATCCGTAGTAGTTCCTTGCTTTATCCTACCTCCAGGAATATAGTTTTTATAGAGGTTTTCATGGGATGTCTTCAAGTCCAGAGGTCTCTCAAAAAGACAGTCATCCATTAACTGCTTGGGGCCAGTTTTTGTCTAGCAGTCTCCTTGAAACCCAGTGAGGGTTTCAGTTTCTTCCCTGATCCATCTCTGCAGAAATCCCTTTCCTTTGAAGAATTTTTCTGGGAAATGCAGAATAGCCCTCTGGGGCAAGGCTTTCAAGCTGACTAGTAATAGTTGCTTTCCTTGTTTTGAGACAACCTGAGTGACATTTTTTAGTTTAGAAGACTGTTTTTCAGCAGGACAAACTCTTCAAACCTTACCTGCTCTTTTTCCTTGCTTCCAACACAGACAGCACAGTGATGAATGTCTATAAAAGATACACATGGAGAATTTACCTTACACTAAGATTAAATCTGAAAGCTCCTTGTCTTTTTCATTCTGCATCCTGTTAACTTGCTGCAGACTTTTTTGACACCTTTTTTTTAGAGAAAATATCTCACACTGCATCAATTAGAGAAGAAAACCCTCGCTTTTTGAGCATGTTAGCTTTTGTTACTAACCTCTTCCCTGAAGTTCATTAAGGTTCTGAAGAGGATTACTCTTTCCTCTTTAAAAAGAAACAAACAAAACCAGTCCAACTTTTCCCCCCACTCCCTCTGCAAACTGATTTAGAAGGCATGCTTCTTGCTCCTACAAGCCAAGTAAGTATTGGTTCACTTTCTGGAGACAAAAGCTGTTTCTTTAGCCCATAAAGTTTTTGCTATGTTTTACTGGGCAATCAACAAACCTTTTGATACAGTGAGGGGTCTAACACCCTTTTTTTCCCACTGCATTGGTGATTCAGTATATTAGCTAACATTTGATTCAAATGTCTAAACAAAGTACACATTACTTATTACTGGCTCTTAATTTAGACTAAACTGAATGACAGTCAAACACTGAGATAACACAGCATTTGGCAGTGACTGACCTCGAGAATCTGCCATCCAAGGAAACCATAATAGGATATATAAGTAGAAGGTCATGGCAACATTTATTTTTCTGTTTTTCTAGAACTGCTTTTTACATTATGGTTGCCAGAATAACAGATAAGGAGAACTATGGACCTAGGTGATCTAGGGTCTGCCTTTTCCCAAGACATCAGGTTGGCAGGCAGTTTGAAGTCCTGCACCGTGCACCACAGGTTCCCTTGAGACGCTGGACAGCTCATGTCTCACCTCCCTCTCTCAGTCCCCTTACATGTGACAAGAGGGTGATAATTCCTTATTTACCACTGGGCAGTACCAGGGGAGTGAACGCCCAGGAAGTGCTTGACAGTCATCTTGTGGGAGACACCATAGAATGCAAGGTGTTAAAAGAGAGGGAGCTCCTAACCCAACAAAATGCATTGCAGAGCCTTCAGAGATGCTATTTATCCCCACCAAGTTTGCTGCCTGTGACAAATGCACAGCTGCGCTCAACCTTTGGCATTCCTCTTGGGAATGTGCCCCTTAAAGCTGTGGGATCTGGCTTCTGCTTTTCAGGTGGCTCCACTACATTCTTTTTTTGCTTCAATGTTATTAGTTCTCCTCACCGACACCTCAGCATGTCCAGAAGTGTCTGGGACCCTTGAGAGGACTTAGTCTGTGGGGCACAGATGTTTGTAAGAATTCAGCACATATTTTTCAAGCAACAAAAGAGAACCATGTGCTTGTTGTCAAGGTCACTGTAGCTAAGGACACTAGGCTGGGACTGGAGTAAAAAGCTCATGTGTTTGTTTACAGCAGAGTCTGTTTGTCCTGTCCAAATGCCAAGACTGAGTTTCTTTGACTGGTACCAAATAACGCAGGCTGCTGATCCCTTTGCTCTGTTTCATTTGCAGCATCTCCACTGGCCAGGAGTCATTAAAAGCTAAGGGGATGATTGATGGTTTTTCATTCTATAGCCATTTTCACACTGAAACAGACCACCATACCTTCCCCCTATGTGACCATGCAATCCATACATCATCATTGCCTCTTCTCTTAGTTCCAGAAAATAAATCGATCTGTTCACATGAGTTGAGTAACAACATAAAAGTGAGTGGACAGAAAGAGTCATACCTACATCCACAATTAGGAAAATTTCCTTTGCCCTCTTTAATTAAGATTTAAATTACTGAGGAAATGAAAGAAAAAGAGGAAGAAAAGATTGCTATATTTTACTTGTGTAACTGTCTTGACTGTCTCAGACAGATGGATACAGATAGGTAAATCAACAGGTCTAGCAAAGCAACAAAAGAATTGACTGTACTAATTTTTGCTGATCAAGCAGAACAATGATCCCAAAACATCTTTTTAATTATTGTATGCTATTGCTTTCATTAGTTCCTGAGAGGCAACATCTCTAGAAGCATACAATACAATTCATAAAGAGAAAGACAAGGCAAACAAAAAATTGTAGGATGGTGGGCACTTTTTTGTACAGTACTGGTTACCTTTATGTATGCAGTTGCTCAGCAGTAAATGGTACTCAAACAAAGAGATAAGCTCTCTATACCGTTTTATGTATGTGTTTGTATGTTGACCACTTGTTTTTTGAAGCTCAGAAGTTTCTCACAACCCCACAAACTTGTTTGAGTGGCATTTTATTGCTGAGGAAAGGGTCATGCAATGGGTAAAAAGTGTTGTTCCCTGAGTATTTATTTACTTTTCATGTTACAAGCCTTTGTACAGCATGAAACTGCCTCTGGCCTGAGGAGAACTCCCAGCAGAGTCAGATTTTTTTTAAATTTGATTCCTGAACATAGAGGATTTGGACTCCAGGGTCAGGATTATCACGCAGGCTCTGCTATGACAGATTGTAACAGCCTCCCAGGAGCCATTTGGTAGAGTCCAGGCAGTCCTATGGCTGAGACTTCCAAAAGTGTGCAGCCCAAATTAATTCTGTGGGTTCAGCTCCCTGAGACCCCATTGAAAATCCCAGCTCAGGGCTTGCAGCAGTGGTTAAGAAGCAGACCCATCTGACTATGCAGGAACAGTATCCAGAAGATAGCACATGCTATTACAACACTTGAATTCTCTTGGTTAAAAAAAGCAAAATTATGCTGAGGGAGAATCAATAAGGAGCTTTTCAAAAGGAATTAATAGATGTTGTCAAAATCACCCCCTCTTAAAGCCAAAATCAGGAGACTGTGCTATATTTCTGATAAACCCTGCGATGGCTGCATTAGCTACCCAGAGGGAGACATCAGTGCTTCATGGGCACTGGAGTTTGTCCAGAATGGGGAAGCAGGAAATTTGGACTGCAGTTGCCATGAATTATCACAGCTGTGTAGAAGCTGAAAAATGTTGAAATGATTTTGAATTATTTTAGACTTTTTCAAAATTGTCCCCAGTTATTCTTCCTGAGGACATGAGCCTGAATTTTTGCATGGTGATTGTCTCAAGCAAATGTGGGTTCCAGCTGCAATCACAAATGCAATTCACAGATTAACTCACATAAGATATTTTAGTGTTGGCTTTATGAACCCAATATGCCTTAATTTTCACATTGATGTTTAACTCAACTGAAGGTAAATGCAGCCCCACAACATGTCTTCTGCTCAGTTTTGGATCAGGACTTTGCAAAACCAGAATTACACACAATTTTTACCCCCAAGTGTGTTTTGATGCAGCTTTCTTGAACCACCACTCTACTGCATTAGTGATGTTCAGATACTGAACAGATAGTTAAATGATGAAGTTAGGATGTTCTAAAATCCATGGGACAACCTCACAACAAATAAACACAGTCATAATTCAATAGAGTTGCACAGATTTCCATACCACAGTTTAGCAAAGTGTTCCATTTTATGATCTAATAAACTATATAAAAGAGAGCTGCAGAACATACACAGAATCCCTGGTGTTTGCTTCCCTGTCTCCCCTGCTACCCTTTGTCTAATTTCTTGTAGCATAACTAAGCAATCTTTTTTCCTTTCCTTTGCAGAAATCCCCAGATCTTCCACAGCCAAAGAGAACAGATAAAACCTCTTTTAGGCTGGCTCCAGAAGACCCAGATTCTGTTTGACTACTACCTTTTTGGATAAATATTTGGGGGTTCAGGATGAATAAGACAAGGGCTGTTAATGATGGTTTTCCTTTCCTGAACAGTAAGAACTGGAGCTCAAACCGAAGCTTCCCCGTGCACATTTCTAATCAGTGCAGGAACATCACTGACCTTACTGTCTTTCTAGCCACCTCTTACAGCTTGGAGACTGTCCTAGGCATTGTGGGAAACATCTGTCTCATTGCTGTCATTGCCAGGCAGAAGGAAAAGTCCAACGTCACCAACATCCTAATTTCCAACTTAATAATTTCAGACTTGTTTATGTGTGTTGTCTGTCTGCCTTTCACCGTTGTTTACACCATGATGGACTACTGGATGTTTGGGGAAGTCATGTGCAAAATGACCTCTTTCACTCAGTGCACATCTGTGACAGTGTCAATTCTTTCCCTTGTCCTTATTGCTCTGGAAAGACACCAGCTCATCATAAACCCAACTGGCTGGAGGCCAAGTATCTCCCAAGCCTATCTAGGAATTGGAGTAATTTGGACTTTAGCATGTCTCATGTCCCTGCCCTTTTTGACCACATCCATCTTGTCTAATGATTTGTATAAGCAGCTCTCACACATCATGAATTTTTCCACTGACAAGGCCATATGCATCGACTCATGGCCTTCTGAGCAACACAGACTTATCTACACTACCACTTTACTGCTCTTGCAATATTGCATCCCGCTGTTCTTCATTATACTTTGCTACCTGCGTATCTACTTACGTCTACAGAAGAGAAAGGACATGTTTGAGAAGAGTGAATATAGCAACCGAGCAGTTCAGCTGAGAAGGATAAATATTTTGTTAGCTTCCATGGTTGCTGCTTTTGCTGTTTGCTGGCTACCACTGCATGTTTTCAACACCATCGTGGACTGGAATTACAAAATCATTTCGCCTTGCCACCACAATTTGATCTTCTCATTGTGCCACCTGGTAGCTATGGCTTCCACCTGTGTCAACCCTGTTATCTATGGTTTCCTAAATAGCAACTTCAAAAAAGAAGTGAAGTCGCTGATTCTGAGTTGCCAGCATAATTCAGTAACTGCATCGATGGAAGAATATGATCATTTCCCTTTATCCACCATGCAGACTGAAATTTCCAAGGGCTCACTGATGTTGAACTGCAGGCATAATTCTATCTAGCTAGTAGAAGACATTTCAGAGGGGTGCACTGACACCACACACCTATAGGTATAAAAAGCAACTAGTGATGCTATAGCTGGGATGTGAACAGGAACCCATTACTGCCTGATTTTTGGAAGAACAGGCAAAAGAAGGTCATAAATGTATATAATAGCTCATATGGTACACAAGTTGTTCATGTCATTGAGATGATACAGACATTGAGGAGACTGGGCTGATGTATAAGTGGCTGCTCTAACAGATCAGTAACTAAGCTGTGGCTGCACATAGACTGACACAGGGTTCATCAGCTAAGTTCACATCTCTACCATGGCTGCAGTTGAAACCCAGACTTCCAGTTTCAGCACTGCAGGCTGCCAAAAGTTGCATCAGAGAAGACTCTCTCAGTTTCTCAGTATTAGTAGGATTTTTATGCACAGCTGATACACCAGTGGAACAGAGATATGTAAATACATAATTTTTTGTGCTTTACCAACTTCCACAGCCCATAAGGTAACAGCAATCTTTCAGCAGGTCTAGTTCACATCAAACAACTGGATGTTTGTATGAAACTTCTCTCTCTGTCATGTAAGCTTGGGACTAACCATTGCTTCTGCAAGTAAGGACACAGAACAATGACCCTGGTATGTAAAGAAGCTACTGATTGAGGGTTGGTGGCAAATTAAAATGTTACTCAATGTATTACACTCTTAAAACATTGAGATGACGCTGAGCACTATTTTTAAGCAAATGAAAAATAGTTGTAGATCTACATGGAAATGAGTCTGGTTGACTTTGCAATTCCTGCTGCTGTCAGTTACAAAGCTCTGTGATGCTAAAACTGCATGCGATGATGATACAAGGTGGCTGAATTAGTGGAGTTGTTCCAGGTCGTGGTAGCAGGATGTCACTTCTGCTGCAGCAGCTCCTTGGTACTTTAATTGCAAAGTATCTCATTCAGAAGGTCCGAACAAGCATGAAAACTTGTTTGTAGAAACCGTGTCTTTTCAGAGTGGGTATGCTCCCAAAGAAATAAGCACATGCATGGAGGCTTTCAGTTTCCCATTAAAATAAAACCAGATGTCAGGTACCAGTCCCACCCACTGGCATCAGCAACAGAGATGGAGCTGAAATTCCAGCTAATCAGTAGAATGTCAATGAAACTACACAAGTGGAATCTGGGTCAGGTTGAAGCCAAGCTACATGTAAATAGATAGTACTGTCAATTGTTCTGCTAAAGTGAGGGTCATGTTTTTTCACATCTGTGGTATTTTTAGTCTTTGTCCAAAAAACCTACCAACCACAAACTCATTTTAACCTCTGGAGCCAGAGACATTGCTCAGTGACTACTGAGAAACCAAGAAGTAGGTATGCCCAAGAAGCCCATACTGAGGAATGGATTAAAAAAAAGGCAGCAAGTGTAAAAAGGAGACCAACCAGGTCAATGCTAAAGAAATATGGAAGCATATTCTGTCCTGAGCTGTTAAACTACCCTTAGCAGAAGACTGGACTAGGTGACCACCTGAGGTAATTTCCAACCTGAATTTTGCTATGATAAGCAGTTGTTACTCCTTGTAGTCAATGGGTTTGCATTGAGTTGAAGATAGCCAATGTATAGTTATGCAGATAGTGAGAAATCTCTTAGCTGGAAGCTCTCTGATTAGACAAATTGGTAAATAGTTAAGGGAGGAAAAAGTTCTTCCCATACTGTGGTCTGACAGGCAATATGGATGTTGGACAGAGTATCTGAAGACAAGAGCAAAACTTCACATTATAAGGTAGCAATAGCTATCAATAAGTACGAGATCATATCCTCAGGTAGCAGAAACAGGAGTTAATCCCTTGCCATGAGCTGGGTGCACAGAAATCTGTGGCAAATCTCCAAGTTTGGACTTGAATTCTTATGTGCAGAGTCTTAAAGCAGAAACTGTTTTGATGCAGCCACCCTTCTAATTCTGGGTAGAACCTGTATATCTCAGTAAGAGAGCTCACACGCAACTACCTTTTATATCTTCCTCAATTATCTGGCAAGACATTTTTGCTTCTTTCAAATGGACTCTGCTTTTTTATTTACTTTGTTACCTGCCACAGTATGATGAGAAGTTGTTTCTCTTGATTTGTTTGTATGCAATGTTATTTTTAGACTGGACATTGAGTCTATTACAAACACAGAACAAGAGAACTCTCACTTTATCTTATATGCAGCTTGAAATTTGCTACTGTAGCTGAAACCAGAGCCGATGCAACCATACAATGCTGAGTAGTACAAAACAGAGTAACTCCTCCTCATCAGCTTGATTTATATCAAAACTGTGCTGTATTATTTGAGGGCTTAAAATACTGCTTAAACTTTGTAGTGGTTTTGTATTTAGGATCAAGTTCACCCAATTAGCCTTGAGTAATTCTGCCTGTTTCCTGCACTTGTTATAATTCTAATATTTCATTAACTAAGATGTGTGTCAAGCTATCGTAAGAACACTCTGCTAAATATGAACATAGATTCTGATTTATGATCTTAAGTATACAAGTTTTCAGGCAGCAGTGTCCTAAATGAAAACACAATTACCTTTAGAATTTGTACTTCCGTGAACTTGTCTTTGTCACTAGTTCTAAGTGAAAACTTTTTGATAGAGCACTTACAACATGTTAGAGACCTGCCACTAGAGCTAGGCATTTGCATTGTGCATCAGGTCCCAGTTCTTCCTGCAAAGGGTAGAAATATCACTCTGACTCTGTTTAACTGTAATTCATGTGGTCATTTGTATCCGTGATCACAAGTAAATATGTAAAGCAAGCAGCTCAAACTTTACAGTAACCCAGACAGACACAAACAGATGTATCTTCCTCCAGTGATTAAGGGAAGTGTCAAGTTTGGAGTCAAGTACTGTTTATTGCTAACAGACTTCAGACTGGATAAACTAAAAGATTTAAACACTAAAAGACACCAAACCGTACCCATACATCTAACTGCAAAAATGCAGATCCTGAAAATTCCCAACCAGCTGCTGCCTATTCATCTACTTACACACCATCTTGAGGTACATGTTTTTCAAGGTCTAAAATTCCCTAGCTAATGAAATAAAATTTAAAGTAAACCCAGAAAAAAAAAAATATATCTAAGTTCCAAAGGACTAAATAGTTACGCCACGTGTAAGTCCCGTCTCTATTTACACACCAGTCATCCTGCTGGCACAAATAGCTGTAACAGGAAAGGTGCCTTTATCACCACTTCTTCATTCTGTGTGGACATCAAGACTTATGCAGCTATGCACAAACACAGTAGAGGATATTATGCTGCTAGTTTTTAAGAACTGCTCTAGCAGCTCTTCCCTGTTCCCTTTGAAGGGAAAGGCACAAGACTGGATGCCATTAGGCTTGCATGGTTGAAAGAGGCATTTTATTTGTTGCTTTGAGCCTTTAATGCAACCAAGGGGGCCTATGTCTCTTTGGTCCCGGCAGAGGGTAACAGAACAGAAATAGCTTACATACATCTTATCCATTTGTAAATAATAAATAAGGTTCATACCCTGGAAGTCTCAAGCATTTTTGTCTTCATTGTATACAGTGATGCTTCTGAGTACACTCTTTACAAAGTTCTGCTATTGAGTTACAAAAGCAATGTTGTGGAAACATGCAGGAGTTGTGCACATCATGACTTCATATAATCCTAAAACCTTACCCTGCTTGCTTTTTTTTTAAAAGCTTTTCATAATCCTGCCTTTTGTGACATGCTGTAAGAAGATAATAAGGTTTTCAGAGCAAGAAAACAACTTATTACTGTGATATAAGTGGCACACTATGGGGAGTCTAATAACAACAAATAAAATATTGTCTGTATTACTTCACTTTTCTGTGCCTGCTTCTGTAAAATGGCATAATACTATTCATAGTATAAAGTGCATAAGATTTAGTTCTCAACTACTGTTTATCAAGAGAAAACAAGTTATACTGTATGATAAGAGGCATTGATATATGAAGGATTAATAGCTTGATGCATTATTTCTAAGGACAGACAATGGCGCAGCACAGCCAACTGAAGAGGAGAGGACAGGCTCAGTATCAAAAATTCAACATGGGACATTGCAATATTCCAATGCAGGACTCGGCTCATCTCCACAGGCTTCCCAGATTGCATAGGAAACTGCGTCCTACACAGCATACTGTCCTGAACCCTGACCAGAACCCCCAGCAGAAAGTAACCCGAGACTGTTGAGATGAAAACTGATGTGGGACATTTATCAAAACTTTATTGAACCTCAGAAATGCTTTGACTGGGTTAAAAGAATTGGCAAATTTCTCTGACCTGGGTTACCTGCCTCAAAAGAAAGTAAACCAAGGTGCTAGAGATAACATGTTGTGCTATAACCAGGTTATGTTTATTACATTTATACACACAAGCAAAGAGTGCAATAGGAGTGTCTGCTACCTGCCTGGCATGTTATTGTATGTCATAAGTGTGATGTGATCAAAAGCAGTTGGTAATGATGTTATGACAGCAGTTGGTCAGGGTCTGCACCATAGGTTTGCTATTTGCAAATGCAGTGTACACACACATATGAAGCATGACAGTGTAAGAGAGCTTATTGTAAATTAAGACCTCACATCCTAAGGGCCCCTTATGGGATTCTTTTACTTTGACCTGTGTGTCTTCTCACAAGATCACCTGAGAATTCTTTTACAGGCCATTGTCTTCAAATTTCTAATTTGTTAAATTGATTTCAATAGAAATTGTTGTTGCTTAGCTCCATGGGTAATCTGGGTTTACATTTTATGAGCATCAACATCCACATAGCTTTTATGATCTTCCCTCACTTTCTCAGTTTGCTTTACAAAGTCACTTCTTATGACTTCCTGAGTTCAAAGTAGAATAAGCCTGAGTATACTTTCGTATAATGCCTTTTCCTGCCAGACAATGCTCATTAGGCCTTGGTTGGAGTTGTTTTGTTGTCCTTCCAATAAATACTTAGTAAACATGAAGCCCAGTAGCAGCACAGAGATTATATGATGGAAGCCTGAGAGGA